CGCTGCCCTTACAGGGTGAAGTTCTGAGCTTGCGGATCAACCCCGACATGGACATGGAGGCCCATTCCAAACATCAGATTGGAGTCCTTTGGTTCGACGATGGCAGTATGAAGGGGCTGGCCTGCTACATCAACCTCGTGGGCCTTGTAGTGTTGGACCAGCAGGGCAATTTTCAGAGGATCTTGCCCATCCTCGGGTCCAGACCTTCATTCAGTCGCTTCTGCAGATTGCCACCATCTTCAAGTCAGATGTTGGCACTTCCTCGCTCATTGACAGCCAGATTTCCATGGTGGTCAAACAGAACCAGGATTCCCAGGCCCAGGCGATCTCGAGCTTTGGAAATCACTGGCGCTTGTCCAGCGCCCGGTCGCTCTTTCAGCGAGCTACTCACCCTTCACAAAAGGGCTAGTGATTTCCAAAGATACCAGGTGTCTCTTTCAACACATTTCCCCAGTGGGAAAACAGATTCCAAATCCAGGCTGCATTTTTCAGCAGCCAATGCGCTTGTCCAGCGCTTCCCATCTTGTCGATGGTTGGTTGGAATCTGTTTTCCCCGCAGCTGACGTGGCCCAGACCGTCACTGAAGTCAAAGAAGTTCCACCTGAACACCTTAATCAGGATGACATACAACAACATTTGTAAAACAACGCACCTGTCAACTGTGAACAATTCTATTTTGATGTTTTTTTTCGACCAACCATTGGTTCATGGACACTGTTAATGTTTGTTTATTTTTGTTTCCTTCCCCCATCCTACCCACCGACTGCAACTCAAGTGTACTAAGCTCTAATTGTCTGACACTGACCCTACAACGTCTACAAAACTTCAACTTGAAATAATTGATGTTTTGAAGTTGAAACCCATCCGACCCCGCTGAACTGAGTGCAGCGCCTGTTATGGCATTCCGCTGGCTGACAAAGGGGTTGGGGATGGGAAGCAGGAATTAAAACCAAGAACAAATTATCAACAAACGGTGTCCGTGACGGCGAGTGATCACTCACGTGCATGCGTATGAGGGTCCAAGTAGCCTTTTGGTATGTGCATGTAACAGTTTGCATATATATATATATATTGTTAATATAGTATAATATAGAACGATCGAACTTCATCTAGCTGATACATGTTTCGCATCACGAGACATGCATCCAGCATCCCCTGGGAGGTCGATTGGATCTCAAGCGGCCGGGACGGATGGATCCGAAACCACGTCCGTCGCTCACCGAGCGGAGGCAATCATCGGAGTCCGTCTGTAATGGGGGTCGAAGGGGGCCCTGAACCAAACCCTTCTTTTGAGGTCCGGATCTGTAGGGTGGACGAATTTGGTCGCTCTTGTCAGTTGTTTATGTTGTTTTGCATGCTTTCTTTAAAACGCGTGACGTGGTGGCACATCAAAAGGTTACGTTTTTTATGATTCTTGGACCTTGAAACATCCACCGTCCACGGAAGACAACCCCAAACAATTGCCTTGCACGAAAAAACCCTCCCCAAGAAAAAGGACTAGCTGCCCTCACATCGTGACATCGAGATGTAAGGAGTTCCTTCTTCGGATCCCGACCCCCAAACACCGCATCACGTCGAATTCGACTTCCCGCATCCGTGGCGGGTCTGACTCCTCCCCGGTTCTTCCGGCGACCACGTCGAGTAACCGAGTCGCTGTGTGGATCTTGGCACGCAGGGGGTGCTTCAAGTAACCGACCTGCCCAGCTGCCGTGGCCTTTCCCCAGCGAAGATGTGCGCGGCCGCAGAAGAGTGGAACCGGTTGCTACCATCGAAAACCCCGCGGTGGACGAAGCCCAAATAAAACGCTTTTCTGAAGGGTTGACAAGCTGCACGTGCTACCCAAAAGCATCACGGTAGGTGGATCTCACTGGAGGAGTCCATTCAGTTTTACTTTCTGATCTTCTTCGGAGGTGGCACTTCGGAGTACCCGAAGTGAAAGGGAGAAAAAGCCAGATTGCCTCAGTTGACGACGCCACCAAATGGCCCCGGGCTACAGGTCCACCCTGACACTCCACCCACAACTTGCCGCTGGATTATGACTTCCAGGTGGGGTATGACTTCAGGCTCATTTTGGGGCACCGTCCACGGCCAGTGACTTCGCCTTGACTTGCGTCAGGACCTCCTCGGACACCTGCCCGGGCGGTGTCCGAAGGTGCTCGGGTTTTCTCGGACTGAAAAGTGGTGTGGTAATTGTGGATTCAATCGCCGTGTGGAACCCGGATGGACACACATTATTGGATATGCAAAGAAGTCTGGTTATCTTCCTTATTTCTCCTGCATGCAATGGCCGTGTCTTGAAGGGGGGTTGTTGCATACCTATATAATGTATAAACATTGCCCCGCTGTGGGCTGGTATTGGTCACTTGGGATGTTTTGGGAGGTTGTGCCCAACCAACAATGCTTGGATGACCTCTGGCTGCTGGCAGTGAGAACACTCAAGCTTCTGAGCACCAAAGCTCAGATTCGCATTGAGCTGTTGGCAAACCTTGGCACCTGGCCACCCAAAAAGAAAAGGATCTTTGAAACCGGTTGATTTGCAAAATTCCCGGAATATGCTGCCCACATCCCAGCAAAACCAACCCCCTGTGTCAGCGCCCACAAGTTCATGCGTTGGTGCCCACAATGCGCGGAACAAATGGCCACCTCCGCCTTGCCATCCGTGATCACGACGATGGCTTCGGCATCCTGAAAGCGGAAGGCCTCGCAGAACACGGGCGCATGGGCTAGATTGGGACCCGGCACGCGGGGTGTTCACTTGGCCCAGGAAGCTGGCGGGTAGCGGATTCAAACAAAACCGCGGGTGGATGACGGTTTGGTGTGCAAAGTGTTTCACTGAACTGCCAGAACCCGACTTCACAGGTCTCCAGGGAGACCTCTTTTTGGGGCATAACAACCCTCTTTTTTTTTGGACTCGGTAATTGGGGGCCCGGATTCTTAGTGAGACGGACATCTGTTCAATGCACCGTGCTTCAGGCACATCCACCCCTGAGTGGATAGAACCCCTGCCCGCCCCAAAAAAGGTCAATGAGTCAAAAGCACCGGACGCCAAAAAAGGAAACACCCAAAGGCTCATTGGACCCTCGCGAGTTCGTTAGGGGTTTTGACCTCGCAACTAGGGTTTTGGACTGAACCAACATGCAGTTGCTTTGGGTAATTGAGCCTTTGGGCGCCTTTGGGCCGGTCTTGTTCTGCCCAAAAGGCATCTCGCACAGCCGGCGCCAGGTAGCTTCCACCGCCGGCCTGGCGAACACGGCCGCTGGCAGCTCGGGTCACCGTGATGAAGCCCCCGTGCAGGGGGCTGTGGGTCCGGGCCCTTTTCCAGTGAAGTCTTACAAGCAAAAAGGTCTGTTCCACCTGCCAGTTCGGGTGGTTGGAACATGCAGTTTCCGTGGTGCTGGAAACTGATCTGTTCAATTCTAACCGGGAAAGGGGCTCCTTCCCACCTCAAACGTTCTGGGTCACGCCTGCGTATGCTGGCAGAAGCGCATGGCTTCCTGGCATGCGCTCACAGCAGGCTGGGCCAGGCCCGACCAGGCCCTACGCAGTCACGATCCCATGTCGAGAATTCACCCGCGGTTTCAACCATTTTCCTCTAGAATCCCCAGTGGTCTGGGGGGTCCATGTGGTCCGCAGCGGTGTGCCACACCCCCACTGCCATCGTCAAGTGGTGTGTTGACCATTGACATTGTGGTGAGTCATTGGGCCTAGTGGCTCCACGCCCGACATGATCATACCTGGGTCATCGAAATGGGTGTCCAATAATAGACTATCCTACACTTACACTGGACACCCAGACAGGATGACCTGGTAGAAAAAGAAACTACACAAAGAAGTTGACATACAAGTGGTTCTCTTCTCATCCCAACCTGAGTCAACGACGAGCTACTCAACCTGCTGACTTCACCATCAGGTCACTCACCAGGTTCTCTTCTCATCCCATCATCTCCCAATGCTACCAAACGTTCCTCCAGATTCTCCGGCGTGGCCGGCACCAGCTGAGAGCGGAACTCGATCTGGCCGGCGGCTGGGCGCAGGCGTTTGGCGCCGCGCCGATGGGCTGGATATACTGAAAGTTAGAGCAAACCCAGCACAAAATAAAGAACGTCCGGTACAAGAGATCTCTCATCATCTCTCATCCCAGTCTTTGTGTGCCTGGTCTGTCAAGTATATTATATAGTCTCCCTGTCTGACATCACGAAAAGACACGGTGAACTAAATGGAATATGCAGGTCACCTGTGTATATCATACCATCACATTCCATACCGCTTTAAACCTACCTTCTTTGCTTGCCTGAGTAAAAAGATAGCCCTAACTTTTTCCTCCACAAAAAAAAAGTTAAACTCAAAAAACCTAAATAAAACTATTAATAACTTCAAAATACTAAGAAATACTAAAACTTTCCCTGGGTTGAAACATGCTATATTTAGAACACACCATCACAAAAGACAAAGCAGCTCTACCTGAAGTTTGGGTGGTTTACACAAGATTCAAGTTTCATGAGCCCAAAAGACAAAGCAGCTCTACCTGAAGTTTGGGTGGTTTACACAAGATTCAAGTTTCATGAGCCCAAAAGACAAAGCAGCTCTACATCACTTACACAATTTAGTTTTTCTTAGCGCTATCTTTTTCCATTTCCAAGTAAAGCAGCCACTTTTAAAGCCAGCCCAAATCATATCCCAAGAGTATATCTCCCAACCACTCCGGTTGAGAAATACCATCAATTCCACACGGAGGCTCCTAGACAGTGAGTACCAATCCGTCCGCTTCATGCGTCCTGCGTCCAAATGCACCAAGTGAGGTGAGCCCAGCGAAGGCGCCTGGTACTCCGTAAAGGTCACCAGGTTGAAGCGCCGACGGGTCCGGTGGAACCTGGGCCGGTCACCATCTGAAGGTCTTGAAAAGCTGCCCTGGAGTTGTTGGGGAGAAAAGCAACAAGCATGTCTAAAAGGCCAGTGGTAACTGCAGTTTCTCCCAGCCTGCCCAAAAAAACGGTCGATGTGTGGTCTCGAAGGTCTCAAAGAACAGTGAAACTCCTAGAAGCTCCAACAGAACCATACCCAAATACTCCATACCTATGATGTTCCAACGATGCAAATAATCTATAAAACATCCAAAAGGCAGGTATGGGACTGCCATATTTGCCAATCAGCCAAGGAGCTGTTGGACCAAGGCCAGGTTCACAGCGGACTTCACGTCTTCCAAGTACACCTGGCACATCAACGCATGATGCACGGTAGACGTATCGAGTTTTAAAAAAAACTGGTTGGATGTACTGGCTGCTGGTTAGGATATGTGTTTAATTGTTGAGCCACTGGATTCAACACTATATATATATATTATATAATTATATATATATATGTTGATTTCTCGGTACAGTACCTATACCGGGGAAGTCGAGGACCATGTTTTAAGTGTTGACTTGGCTGGTTTGTAGTGTAAAATGCCTGTATGGTAAAGCAATGGTTCTCCTGTAAAGGCCATTAAATCAATGGTGGTTGGAATCCCAGGGTATATATGAATATACTGTAAAGTAATATCGTTTATGTGCATGGAATTTCTCTGAAACGAATCCGTGGCGATCCACCCCGGGCGCAACCTGCATGGAGCCAGATACATCCAGCAGGAAGACCACATTCTCCTGAGGACCCGAACCGAACGCCGACCGAAGAGACTTGAACTCGGTTTGAAGGGGTGGAACCCCACAAGATCCAGAGATTCCAACTGGATTTCATACATGGACCCGTGCTAAGCCCTCCAAGCTACGCAAAAAAAAATATGCACCCTCGAAGTCAAAAGACTATGTGAAGTAAAGGACATTCCCATTCAGGTGCCAATTCGTTTTTATATGGTGTTTGACTCTCAGGACTTCATGGAGCTTCATGGAGTGTACACTCCATCACTGACCTGGAAGTGGATGGCACCACGCACAGCGTGGTCTTCGGATTTAACATGGAGATCCGAACTTGGGGCCGTGGCCATCCACGTCACCATCATGGATTCCTTTCCAAAAAAGCTGTCTGACACCAGTCTTTGAATCCCTGAATCAGGCCTCTATGACACAGGGGAGCAGATGAAGACAGTTCAGGGGAGCTGTCGTAGCATTTGGGGAGCTGGCGTGTGAGTAAGAGTCCAAACGAGTCCAAACCTGTCTGTCTCACTTGTCTCTCAGCGACCGAGCCTCCTTGATCGTGCCCAAGACGGACCTCACTTTGTGGGATCCACCATTGGGCCCCCCCGCATGACCCGAAGAATTGGACCCCTTCTGTGCGATGACGACCGCGGTCAGGGACTGCGGTGGATTGGGGATAGGTCAGTGTCACTGACCTACGTAGATGGTGGATGATTCTGTGTCGTTTTGTGGGTGATTGGAGACATAGAATCCACAAAACGTAGATGGTGACTCTACGTAGATGGTGAATCCACAAAACGTAGATAGATTGAGGTGCTTGGAGACATTTTGTTTGGAGACATTGGCGCCACACGATACATAGCTAGTCGTAGCATGCGTCTCAGTTCCGGGTTCCACTCACTTGTGACCGAGGCTCACATGGAACGGCAAGGAAAACAGGGAAGGCCAAGGCCAAACAAACAAAGGTGATGTGGACCTCTATGCTCCGCCAATGTTCCTTCTGTAATTCCCTTTTATTTTACATGTGTTTGGTTCCCTAGGTGTTCCTACTCGACACATGTCTATTTGCTCTTGGCCTATTCCCGTGGGTGTAGCACGAGTCCACTTGTGTCGCATGCGACAGGCGGGGCCAATGCTGTGAAATACCACAGGATACAGTACCTAGGCTATGAAGAGAAAACAGTGGTACTCAAAGTTCAGCTCATGTGGGAGTTGGTTTGGGACAGTACGTGACGTAGCTATGATCCGGCCCTCTCTCACTCTCAGCACAAAGCTGGAACACATGAGGATCCGGCTACGCTAGCTATACTGCCCCTCCTTTCAGTGCGAGGGGTGATGTGGTGAGCTTTCAGTCCCCGCCTGAAGAAGATTTCGGGTTCACCCGAGGAAGAAACTCGCACCAGGAGTCGCAAAGGGATGGTTTTATGTCTCCAAGTGAGTGGATAATGGCTATCCTCCCAATAGGCACCCCTTTGTGACTCCTGGTGCGTTTTCATGATTCTCTTTTGTTCACATATCTCGTTGGCATAGTCATTCACATTCTGATGCGTCTGGGCATCGCCAGATACATCACCTCAAAAGCTGCCAAGCTCGATCCCGCACAACGCCAGGACGCCAACTTCATCTTTTACCATCCTCGAGATTCCAAAAAAAAATACATATTATGGGTTGAGAGCTGAGTAATTAGATGGCACAATCCCCAAGTTGGGTGCTTGAAAAACGAACCCCCATCTGTCAGTCGACCTCTTGGGCTTCGCGCCAGCCTCTCGCCTCTCAAACCATATCCCCAACTCCTCCTCACCCCACTCCCCCCGTCACCGCCTGTTAAGACACCGAACCGTGCCACCACCACTGTGAGCGACTGCCGATCGGTGAGGAACGCAAACTCCTCACGGCGTTCCATGCGCGGGTCGGGCGTTTGGATTCATCCACATCCCCGACCATCCATGTCGGGACGATGTTAAGGTGTTTTCAAAGGTCAGCGTAAGATACCTGGAATATTTGCCTCCTAGGATGGGCGCCAGACTGAGGGAAGATCATGGTACTGGCAAGTAGCTTGAAAACTCACAGTGATTCTAAGAGGTCCTTACTACATACATGGATTGTTGGGGATATGGTGCAAAACCAGCCATAGGCCAAGACCATTCGTGCTTAGACATGGACAGGATGGGCACGTCAGGGGTCTCGATCGCTCGAAGGCGATACAGACCCAGTTCTGTGGCCATCACCGAAATATTGCCCATCACCCCTTCGACCATTCCAAAAACTGGTTGACCCGGATTTCTCGTCAAGCACCCTTATTTACACTAGTTGACTGGTTCACCTGGAATTCGAACTCAAATAAATCAACTCACCCACGTTCTCCCGGTGCCCCGGCGCCCAGTTCCTCTCAGCTTCCTCGCCTGCGGCATGTACTCGGAGCCCATTTGAGGCCTGACCGAGAAGACATAGGGCTCCAGCCTGGGCCACCAGAAGACTGCAGCGCCGCGCGGCCGCGCGGGAGAGACCCCCGCGGCGCGGAGACCCCCAGAGCGAGAGGGGAAGAACAGAACGCCTACGTCGAGCTGAAGAACGGAGGTTTGCCTCGAAGTCATCAAAACGAGTGACCGTATTAGGTAGGAACATGCCACCTGCAAACGCTTGGCACGTGGAGACCTCCATTGCGAGGATGAGACCATGTCCCTCCAGTCCGGGTGGACGAGTTGCAACTCAGCTAGCCACCTGAAGGTTTGCTTCACATGTTCGGACATTTGGCCTTCTGCAAACCCGAGAGATGACCGATGAAGAGATCTGACGAAGGAAAACGGCTCCCGTTCACCCGAGTTTGAATAAGGATTGGCATGGTTTAAACAAATTCAAGGCCTGCAAAACAATGCCTCTCGGGCCTCTAGAATCCTAGATGATCATGATGACCGCTGGAAGAGCCAGTTCGGATAGCATTGGCAGACTTGGTAACTTGGTAGCTATATGTCCGTGTCTTGTCAGCACCCGTCATTCTCTTCCAAGAATGTGCATGAATATATATATATATATACATTTAAAAAACAAATCTACTTAGTGTTTCAACACTAACTAAATATTAGCATTTGATGCCACCTAACTAGTTGGATGAAAACCGCTGGCCAAGGAAAATAGTACTAGTACAAGTGTTCTCTTCCTGTTCAAATCAGTTGGATTCCGCATGCTGGTTGAAAAACCCGGACTGACGTGCTTTCCCCTTCTCTTCAGCATGACGATGTTGCCCCCTTTCAGGTCGGACCCACGGACCCCCAAAACCACTGGGGGTTCTAGTGGTTGAAACATGTTGAAACCCCGGGTGAGGGTCCATCCTAGTCTGCGCCGGTGTATGTATATAAATCATGTTTTAATTGTTCAAACTAATAGCAAAAAATGCCAGGCCGCCCCAGGTTCCTAGCCAAGAGGTAAGAACAGGGATGGCAAACCTACAAGAACTCACAAGTCATTATGTAAAAGACATCACCTCTTCATTTCGTCACCCAGGTGAAAAACTGATTACATTTCTATTCGTATCGATTCGTATGATATTCGACCGTATCTGGCCGACCCAGATCAGGCCAACAAATCATTGGGGTTCAGTTCACTCAACCAGGCGAGTCCTGACTGTTGCAGGTCAGTTCGGAGGCAACAGTGTGTCCTGGATATGTTATGTCATGTTATTAGGACAAGAGGAGGACAAGAGGAGGACAAGGCCCAGCCACAGAGCCCAGGCTATTTAATGTGTCAATTAATTGGCCAGTACTACACTCCCTGGAACGGAAATGGATAGCATGGCCCCGATTGACCATGAACATCCGAATGCCCAACAGGGGGGCTTCACTCCACTTCCATCGTTTGTTCGAGTATTTATGGCAATGACGCCGCCGAAAAACTTGGGTATATAGGGTGTCACCTTCCCAACATCAACCACTCAAAACAACGGCCAGCTCTCTTTCCACCATGGCCAGAATGTTCTGGGCCTTTCACCCTGTCTAGGCATCTTTTTCGATCCGAAATAGCTCCTAAGGCAGTCGTTACGCCGTTACGCCACCCGAAAATTCTCGCACATGTGTCGTGGAAAGCACCCTCTTACAATTTCAATGAGCCATCCACTTCCATGATCTGACCCAAACACAACCAAAAGCATCCAAAAGGACTGGCATATTTACACCTAGAACCTGGATGACCTTGATTTGGGATCACCAACGACCAAAATATGGTCTTTTCCTATCAAAGTTACAGGTCAAACGGGTTCTAGCCCTCCGCAGGGTCCCGTTTGACGGCCAGTCATCTTCCAGCCTCTCTGGGGCCGCCGACAAGGCCAAGGCCACCGTCACTCCTCCAGACCCGTCGCTGCCTCAGAACCGCCGGAGGCCGGAGGCCGCACGGGGAAAAACACACCGCGATCACACGCCCATAGACGCTGTAGACTCACTGTAGAACAGACGCTGTGTAGAACCACTGTTGACTCACTGTAGACTCACTGTCCGAACAAAAAGAATGGTCTACAGTGAGTCTACAGCGTCCATGACTGCAAAGAATATTGGAGATGGATTCATGGGCCATGTTTTTCTGCCCAAGAGCTTCGAACGAGGCTTTGAAAAAGAAGTGATTCCAACCAAAGGGAACACGTCCCGTACTGACTCCTGGAATGTCCAGCACAACAGCAGGACATGAAGTTCTCAAAGATGACCGATGACCCATTTCTGCTTCTCGCTTGATGTCTTCAACCCTTCCGAATCCTCCCGAGAACGGCACTGCCCGACCTTTTTGCTTTGGAACGGTTGCATTCGGCCCAGAAATGCTCCAAAGACGACCGTGGGGTGCGACCGCAAGCAACGCCCCCGGCGGTCGTGCCGCCGGTCAGCCAGCCTTGTCAGCTCCCAAGTGCAACAATCACAGCAATCACTTGTTCACTCGTTCACCCGTTCTGCAGTTCTGCCCAAGTCTAATGTAGACTCTCGATCTGATGAACCCTCCCACTTCAATTTTTCAAAGCCTTCCCATGTCATGGGTGAAATATGAAGTCTACATGACCCGACACGAATAGATACGACTCCTAACCGTCTCATGTGCTGGATAGTCTCGGAGTGGAAGGGCAAACATCGGTTACTGTAAGCTTCGGTTCAGCTTCAGTCGCCCTAAATAGGTCAAGTCAGTCGCGGGCGAAGTCAACCGAGCGAAGTCAAGTCATCCGCCCTCCTACGAGGGAACGACCACGAGTACTCTCGGAGTATCCTTCAACCACCCCACCTCAAGTGAAGCCACCGCTATACCAACAATATCATACGATATCTAACGATTAGAGACAGGTGGGGAGGCAAATTCCGAACACTTCTGTAGTATCTCCTTAGTCTTCTCTCAGCTTCCCCAAATCAAGGGAGGACAAGACGATCGGCGATCTCACGATCATTCATTAAAGGATGGCGGGTGCGGCCCAGTAGCGCGACAGACAGACATCCAACACTACGACATGTACTGTTGAAAGTTGGTCAAAACGAGTTGGGACATGCCTACCACAACAGATGTTGAGCGAAGAATCCCGGTGACAATCTTCAAAGCACACCAAAAACAAACATATCTTGAACATATGACATGTGCATCCTTTTGGTCCTTCCTGATCTTGATGCCTTTTCTTCGTCCTTCCCTCTCTTCTTGCAGAAACAATCAGAAACACACAGATTGATCCGTGCGGCATCCTTCTCACAAAGAAACCTATACCAGGGCCTCTGGTTTGGGTGTCCATTTAATAGCCCCGAAAGAGATTCAGGGTGTCCATGGTAGAAAGTGGTCTTCAAGTCCCACAAGACAAAGCTCCTGGCCCACGAAGTCGTTGGCTCTTTACACGGCCCTGTGGCTAAACGAGACTCCTATCATGTGCAAGTTTGCCAGCTCCATTCGCAAATCCCAACCTCTTAGATTCTCCAATTCCTCTTAGATGCGGCACCTAAATAGATGCATCCTAGTCTACAAGTTTACTCTCTTGTGCATACGACTAATTTACTCTCTCTCTCTGCCTGAAGGCACCCGACAGTGTACAAAAAGTGTGTACTTTTCACATCTTGTTTCGGTTTCACATCTCTAAACCTGTTGTATTTCTTTACCCCTACAGCAACCACTGGAACAAGGCCGGACCGTCCTCAAGTGCATGTACCCGACCCACTGGCTTTGGAGATGTAAAGCCGACATGGATCCCTGTCTTTTTTTGCGTTTTTCGGCCCACCCAAGCTGTGGAATGACAGCATTGGTCATTCACGACGGCGGATTGGGCAGCTTCGCGGAAGTTGAAATGTGCTCCTGCTCCACCAAGCTTCGGATTTCGGCCAATTTGTGCTGATGTTCGGATTACCCACACACACTCCTTGGGACTGGAATAGGTCACTAGTCCAAGCATGTGTTGGGTCATGATTCCCCTTTTCTCAAGATTCTCAAGCATTATGGCATGCTTGGACATGCCATAGTGCTTGAGTGGCAGGGACTTGAAGTTCCTAGCGCATACGAACATGCTTCACATCCGACCAGAAGGAACTGGCTTCACATTGGTTGTGGTTCACAGCCGAAGCGTTTCCACTGGTGAGGAGTGAGGAGAGCGCACATAAAAAAGAGGAAAGAAGAAAGAGGAACCACGCCGTTTTCTGACTGGTGCGACTCGTAAGCAATAAGGGTGGCTCCTACAGTAAGGTCTCTACAGAGGGCTTAGTCAACCTCATTCCCTACGAGTCGCGCCCGTTTTGTTTGCAGCCTCTCAGGGTCTATCCCCTAGGCTGCTTTTAAAAAAGTTGATTGAGTAAGATCCTTACTTAGTCACACAATGGTGGTTTGGCAGAGGCCATTATATAACTCAATGTTGTATCCTTCCTCCACTTCCTCCACTCGGCTTTTGGATTAATACAGCGGAACTGTTGGATTTGAACTATGCCAACTGTTGGGTCAACTATGGGTGCCTGTGAATGAGACAACTCACAACCCTCGAAGTGCAGTGCATTTCTCCATGTTTCTCCCCTGTCACAGGCCGGAATGTCAGTTCTGGGGGTCCACTTGCTGACCCACATCAGAAATCCTGGCAAGGAGCTGACTGCCCCTCTGCATGTTCTTTTGAAGCCGTTTAGGATTTTTGAGGATAGTACGCTTCAGACGTTTTCCTCCATTGAAGCGTTGTGGGTCCGTACGGCCCATGTCAGAGGCCCATTTTGGTCGGCCTTTACTATTAAGTGCAGTGCTTGCTAGACGATGTATGATCGATACCAGGGCCCCCCCACCATCGGGGTGCTTAATGGACATCCCTGGACCTAAGGAGCGATAATTGGACACCCCATGGTGTCAAAGGCCCTGGTATAGACTGCAGATAGACGATCATATAGACCAGCAGGGGTGAACTTAAAGTCGGGATGCCAGAACATCCACCTATACTGGATGGGACCAAATCCATTCCGACCTGGAACTGGTGTGCTAGAAATGGGATCCACCTACTACCCCTTTCGAAACCAATCCATTCTCCAACCGATCGATCCAGTCGGGTCCCCATCACGGATAGCTCAGAGCAACCGATCTGCTTGTCATTTCAACGTGGCGAAGTGTTCCCATCGCCTCACCACCGCAGCAGGCGGATCGATAGCTGCGGACGGATCGATAGCAGTCACATGGGTTCGATGGAGTGGGAACCCCATGACCAGCGCGACGGGCAGAATAAGAGGAGAACACTCATTGGTGTTGTACAAGAAACACGTGTTCTAGTGCTATAGGATGTATAGGTTAGATAGGTATTATATTTATATAGATTCCATTTGTCTCATGAATGTTCGCTAGAGATAGGTGCGGGAGGATCATTTATTTCCTGCAAGCCATGTGTGCCTTCGTCACCCGGTTTCGGACAGCAGGTTGGGCAAGCCCAATCACTGATGTACGAGGTCTTTTTCATGTGGCAGTGCTTTTCTGATGGAGGCTGGCCGCCGCTGGCCATGGAACTCCTGAGATCCTGGGAAGTGCAGTGCGACACCATGTCGCAGCCGCCCCCTGAACGCCGAAGGGCAAATTAACAGCGCTGTGGCAAGAATTATGTCATCCTTTCCATCATGGCTCCACCACGAAGAGAAGCAATAGGAAATTGGTTTCAAGTTTCAATAATAAATAAATAGCTTTAAGAACAAATCCGGTGACAGCCTTCAATGGCAGTAAGCTCAGTGTCAGTGGTCTCACTCACTTGGGGATTGACTTCTTCCACAGGCTCTGGGCAAAGAGGGTGATATATATGGTCACATTGCTCAATACACACCCTCTCAACATTCATTTTCTCCGGCCCTGCACAATCCTTGCAATTGGTGCGGCAAGGCTGTTCCAGGGCCCGTCCAGGCCCGATGTCAGGAGCTGTGAGAAGAGGCACTGCGCTTTCGCAACTCTAGCTCGCTCTTCCTTGGCGAGAAGACGCTTCCGCCCCCACCACTCAACCCGGAAAAACGCTCGCAAGAATATGTGAGGGTGGTTCATGGCGTTTCATCTAGAACTGCTCTTGTTGGTCTCCCATCAAGTCATCTGTGGACGGTTCCCGCAGTACCTGCTGTGCGGGGAAGGCCGAACATGGCGGTTTCAAAAAGGACCGGGACCACAAGCCCTTGGGAACCGCTGGGCACCCCCCCAAAAATAGGCGATAGAACACTCGATACATCTCGATACGCTTCAAACATTTTAGATATTCAATTGCAAGTATATATAATATATATATATATATTGAATCTTCTGAAGTACTCCGCCCGCACGTCTCCCCCGTGGCAGCCCCCTCCGGGCTTTTGCCAAGCACGTCTCCCTCTCCATCCGCCCAAGGCACAACATGGCATTCTCCATGTCTGAGAGCCGCAATTTCCTGTCGGGAGGTGTGGATGTTCAGGATTTTTCGGTGCAGGTGTGGATGTACCCCATACACCGAAGACGATCCCATGGACCCTGAAAACCACTGGGTTGGTAGAGGAAAACCCTCCAAGGTCTATGTGAGTTTTCGGGAGCGTAGCTCTTTCTCTCCAGGATTTCCCGATTTCAGGTTCCATGTCATGGTCCACTTCTTTGAACCTGCTTGCTTCGAAGATCTGAGAACATCCGGGACCACTTGGCCAGCGGCCAGCAAAAACCGGTGTAACCACCCAACAAAACCAAAAGAGCCGGTGTACCGAACTCACCATCCGAGGGTCAAGCAGGCTCTTCAACCGCTGTGAAATTGCTGTGAACCATTTGCCGACTCAGACTCAAGACCCAAATCGAACGTCCGGAAGACGAACGGGGCCGGTGCGTCCCAGTCAGTGTCGTTGGAGTCCAAGTCCCACAACCAAAGGGTCCCGCTCATCGAGGTGAAGGAAGATAGGGGTTTTTCATGTCACCACAACGCGTCGCGCGACACTGGGGTAGTTGAAAGGGGGGCGTCCAGTAGACT